CCCCCCTGGCTCAGGCCCCTGTCCAAGGCAGCTGACCCGAAGCTAATTGCCTCAGCGACCACTTGTGCAGCCTTTGCAGAACTAATGGTCTGGGTCTGCGGCATGGGCCCCATGGAGCCGCACCCCCCTCCTCCTGAGGGAGCTCTGAGTGGGTGACTCAGGCTCCAGGGGAGGGCGGGCGGCGAGGACGGCCCAGCAGGCGTGAGTCAGCACCTCAGCTGGTCTCCCACCCACCTCCTGGAAGGACCGGTCAGAAACCACTTCCTGCTCAGCACCCAGCGCGGCCCCGGCCCCGGGCACCCACAGACCCTTGGGGACACCAGGAACCTGCAGGCTCAGAGTCTGAGCAGCACGCCCCCCCTGCACCGCTCCACCCTGGGGGCTGCTGGGGCGGGGGGGTCTTCCTGCCTCCAGGGCCGGGCAGGGGTCCAGGGCCCAGCAGAGACCAGAGGGGACAGCGGTGCGAGGGGGAGCGGCGCCCGGCCTGGCCGCAGCCCCCGCCCTGGAGGGCAGGGTCCAGCCTGGCGTGTGTCCGCCGTCCAGGCAGGGCAGCCTCCCACCAACGACAGACCCCTCTGCAGCCAGGGGGGCGGAGCCTGCCCAGAGGCTGTCGCCGACGTTGCCGCGTGCACGGCCTGTCTGGTGCCCGGCGTGGGGACCAGGGCCACACCCTCCGTGTGTGCGCCCACTCGCACGCCGCCCCACTGGCCGCACCGTCCAATCACCCCCCCACACACACACACGCCCGCCCGCAGCCGAGCTCCCCGGCGTTTGCACCCACGGGTGGGTGCGTGGGGTGTGAGCGGCCTCAGCCGCACTTCCCCGAGGACACGTGACAGCGAACGCGGTTGCACACCTGCGCCGTCTTTTTCTCTTCCGATTGGGTTGCCCACTTTGTACTGGTTTGCGGTTCTTTTCAGGTTGCAGACACTAGTTGCCTGTGAGACACACACGGCGGGCACTCTTCGCCCCCGTGGCCGGCCGTTCCTCCCGCCCCTGACGGCGCGTCCGTGTGCCGGAGGGAGCGAGACTCACCAGCGTCAGCGAGTCGGAATCATGTCTCCCCCGACGGGGACCCGCGCTCCTTCTTCCCGAGAATAGACTCCAGTTCCGAGCAGTTTCGCCCACGCAGAGAAGTCGGCAGGGCGGACAGAGGTCCCCAAACCCGCCCTCACGCACACGGCACATCACGGGGTCCCCTGCTATTTAGGTCGGCCCGTGAGCCGGCGTCGATACATTGCTACCGGCCCAGCCTCAGGGAGCACTCACTCCTCCGGCTGCAGCTGCTGTGGGTCTGGGGAAATCCGTAACATCACTTGTCCACAGTCCAGCCCCAGGCACAGCGGTGCCACTGCCCTGAGACCCTCTGGGCACCCCCCTTCACCCCCTGCCCCCCACAACCACGGGCGCCTCCCTGTGCCCTCTTGTTCACCTCTTGCCCAGAGTCCCAGAGGTGGAAGCTTTTCAGACCGGCTGTGTGCCCGAGGGGCCCGGGGTCTGAGCGCCCTGTGTGTCCCTGCAGGGCAGCTCTGGGGCGCCCAGGCTCTGGCAGTCACGAGCACAGCCGTGCGGGCCGGTGGTCCGCCCCTCTGGGCACGGCGGCCGGACGCCCCGGCGAGAGCGCGGCTGACTTGGTCACACACCTGCAGACCGCCCCCCAGGGGGGCCGCGCCGGCCGCGTTCCCAGCCGCAGAGGGTGGGACTCCCGGTGTCCTCACCCCTCTGGACCTCGGCCATGCCGGTGGGCGTGTGGCGGTGCCTCATTGTTGTTCTAAAGCGCACTTCCCCGATGACACAAGTGCCTCCTCCCGCGCCCGCTTACCCTGCACATCTCCGGTGACGTGTGTGTTTAGACCTGTGCCCGCGGCTCCTCCGGGCCGCTCACGTGCCGCTGCCGAGCGCCGGAGGCCGTTGGCCTGGGCCGGTGCAAGTTCCCCCCCGCCCTCCAGACACGCACGCTCCAGCCCGGGCCTGCCTGCCGGTCTCTCACCGGCGGCCGCCCACCGCGGCAGGCTGGGGGCGCCGCCTGTGTGAGCGACAGACCTGGGTTGACTCCAAGGTCACGGAGACGGGTCCCTCGCTCTCCTCCCCTCCAGGGCCCCCAGGGGCGTCTCGCTCCCGAACCTCCCGGGCTCCCGGGTGTGTGTGGGGGGAGGGCGGACCAAGGCACTTCCATCTGGTGCCCCCATAGGTAGACCCCCACCCCCAGCGCCACCGCCACCCCGCACCGCCCTCCACTGGCTTCTTCCCGGGCCTTGCCTGTCGGTGCCACCCTGCCTGGGCTTCTGGGTCTTTCTAGAGCTATTCTCCTAAACTTGCCGCCACGCTGGGGTCGCTGTCCTCACTCACGGTCAGACGGCAAAGTCCGGGGGCGGTCGGCGCTCCAGCTGTGGTGGCATCTGCCACGGCGGCCGCCCCCTCCCCAGAACTGCTCTTCACCCCACCCGGGCTCTCCTCTCCTCCGCCTGGCCAGTCGGTCCCCCTCCTCTCTCGAACCTCCTCATGGTGGGGGGGCGGCCCCAGGGCACCGCTGCACCAGCCCCTGCTGTCGCCCAGCTTGTCCCTTAGGTGCTGCTGAGGGTTGGGGACGCTCGGCCTCCCCTCTCAGCCTGGCTCCGTCCCCTCAGCTCCCGACTGCAGCAGCTGCTGCCCCTCCACGGCTCCCGAGCGGCCCCTGGGCGTCATCTTCAGGGGGACACATCCAACCCGGGGTTCCGGCCTTCCTCCGGGGCCCTTCCTCCTGCGTCCGTCTGAGCCAATAACACGCTGCCGTTCCGGCCAGTTTGGACAGACCCCTAGTGAGTGTGGAGCCCCCACCGCAGCCCACTCGTCCCACCCACCGGGCAACCCTGCTGGCCCTGCCTCGGGAGTGAGCCCTAGAGCGACTGGTCCTCAGCCGGCCAGTCCCGGCCACCCCCGCCTCCCAGCCGGGCTCCCATTCCCTGCAGCGCGCAGCACCCGGCCGGCGACACTGGGTGGTGACACTGACCGGCTCCTCCAGCTCGCCCCACTCAGGGACAGACCGGGGTCCTCCACGGGCTCCCCTCTGACCTCTGACCTCACCTGCTCCCACTGCGACACCCCCTTCCTGCTGCTCCGTGTCCCTCTGCGGCCCCAGGCTCCCCCTCAGACCCTGTCTCCTTCCAGAAGCCTCTGTGGCATGTCTCCTCGTGTGGAGCGTGAGTTCCACGGAGGAGGGATTCCTGGGTGGGTGCTGCGATGCCCCGGCACCCGGGCCCGTGGTGGGAGCTGCACCATCACCCGTGGGAGGGATGGCCCGCCGGGCGTCCGAGGGGACGGCAGGAGGGGCAGCTTCCAACGCCCCCCCCAACCTCTGACTCAACAGGCAGCCCCCCCTCCCAGGCCTAGGCTGTCCCCCTGGCCTCCCCAGACCCCGGCCCCAACCCAGGGACCAGGGGTCCCGCCCTGGGCCCATGCCTGCCCTGCTGATGTGGGCACCCTGTCCCCACCAGGCCTGCCTTTGGCCCGACGGGTGCCTCTTTCTGGCTCCACCCCACATTTGGCTGGGCACAGGGGACCGGGCCCTCCGGGCCCTTCCGGCCAATCGCACCACAGGTGGCTCTGATGGGGCGGCCAACTTGGAGGGGTTCCGGCTTGTGGGAGAGCAGAGAGGTCCCCGGGTGCCTGACGGAAGCCGCAGCTCACGTGGGGACGCAGGGCCCAGGCCAGAGATGCTGAGTGTGGAGGGGACACAGGCTCTCCTGGGTGCTGGGTGGGAGAGACCTGGGCCCCAGCCCCCACAGTCAAGTCCCAAGGTGCTGCCCTCCACAGAGACACCCCTGAGCCCATGGGTCAGTACCTCTCCAAGCGCCCCTTTGTGCCCCCACGAATAACTGCTGAGCACCCACCACGCGGCGAGCAGGGCCCTGGGCGCAGGGAACCCTGGGAACCACGCGGAGAGAAGGCCCCGCTCTGCACCCAGTGGACCGGCCAGCCGTCCCTTCAGGAGGACGGGGCCTCTCCACCCCGTGGGCCACCAGCCGCCCCTTCGCAGCCGCTGCCCTAGGGCAAGGCCAGGACCTCCGCCTGCCCAGCGGCAGCCCCCGCCCCCACTCGCCAGACCCAGCCGGACCCAACCGGCAGGCTCTGCCGTCCCTTCCCCCCGCTGCACCCACGGCCTGACCTGCCCACCCCCTGCGGTGGCCCTGCCAGCCTCACAAGTGCCTCTGTGACTGCGGTCACTTTCTAGCACATTCCGCCACTTCATTGCCTCCTGGACATGACCTTTTCTGAAGTGGCCTCTCCAAACTCTTCAAGTTAGGGCCTGCTCCTCTGGCTGGGCCTGGGGCAGGGAGGCGGGGGGCTGGAGCAGGCCCTCTCTTCCGTAAATTCAGGTCTGGACACCGAGTGCCAAATGGGGCAGGAGGGGGTGGATTGGGGGGGGGTCCCCTGGCCGAACCCTGGTGACAGCGGAGGGCTCACTCCCCCGGGCCCTGTGAGTGGCTGGGGCCGCGACAGGGCCAGGCCGGGTGTTGCTCTGGGGAGCAGCGCGGGTCACGGACACTTGGAGACAGAGGCTGAGGGCGCCCGGGGCTTTCGGGGCTGACACCCGGAGATGCCCAGAGCAAAGGAGGAATGGGAGGCACAGGGGCGCCAGCGGAGGGCGCGGGTGGAGAAGCAGCAGGCGCTGCGGGGGAGGTGGAGGGGGGCGCCCTGGGGTCGGTGGAGGGCTGTGGGGCCCCATCCTCACACACTCCACGGACCCGTGGCGGGAAGGAGCCACGGCCCCGGGTCTTGCGCGGCTGCAGGCGTCCAGGGGACCAGCTCCGGGACCCTTCGGCTCAGGCCGGGGGACTGCCCGTGCCTGCCCCGGGCACGCACGCCTACGCCGGGTACCAGCGAGTCCCGGAGCAGGGGCGCGGACCTGGCGGGGCGTGCCAGCAGCAGGCCTGGGGGCGTGGTCTCGGGGTCGCCCCGCCCAGGCCCCGCCCCACGCACGCCGCCGGTGGCCCACGTGACCGGCCCGGGTGCAAACAAGCCAGTCAGCTGATTCGGCCCGGTTGCGCCGTCATCGGGACTATAAGCGCGCGACCTCTGGGCTCTCCGCTCTGACCCGGCCGCCTGGTCCCGACGCTGCCGACGCCGCCATGCAGCCCCTCCACCTGCTGCTGCTCATCCTCGGCCTCCTGGCCGCGCCCGCCGCCGCGCTGGTCAGGTAAAGTCCGCCGGCCTCGGGCGCCGGGGCCCCGGAGCCCTGCGCAGCCGGTGACCTCCGTGCGCCCCGCAACCCCCACCGCGAGCTGGGATCCGCGCGGCCTCCTGCAGGGCCACCCTCGGGTGGGGCGGGGCCGAACGCGGCCGCTGTGCAGGTGCAGGGTTCGCTCGAGAACCCCAGCCGGCGACCCCCGTCCCTCCCTCCCTGCCGGGGTAGAGGGAGGGGGGCCGTGGCTCCGCGCTGACCGCGCCCCCCCCAGGACAGGTGGTATGGCCGTGTCTCTATCCAGAGCCCCTGCGCGCAAATCGGGAGACCCTGGGTGTTGGCCGCGAAGGCCTGAACCTGGGCGAGTCGCTTTCCCGCTCGGGGCTGGGGCTTGTCCCCCCCTAGTTGGTCACGTGGGACCTTATCGCAGGCCATGGGCTGGGAGGGCGGTTGGCCCAAAGAGGCCCAGACGCCCACAGGGAGGGAGTCAGCCTAAGGAGAAGGCCGGGGTGGGTGGCCTCAGGCCTGGGGCTCTGACCCAGTGAGGAGCACCTGTGCCCTGGTGCCTGGTGCCCGGTGAGGTCTCCAGTGGCCAGGCCCGGACTCGGGCTGTGACTGGCTGTGCCTGGCCATGCCAGCCTGGCTGAGCCAGGCCCCTCACCCTGCCAGGCTTCCTGCTCCCGGCAGGCCAGGCCGTCCCCGGGGAGCCTTTGTACGGGTCTGGGCCCACATTCTCGCACCTCTGCTGTGGGCCTTCTGCCCGTGGGCAGGTGGGTGAGGCGCTGAGGCTGGGGAGCTGGCTGGGGGCCCAGTGGGGCTGGGCCTTTGCCAAAGGGCTGCCCTGCGTGGGCTGCGGCCTGGGGGTGAGTAGCCCCAATTGGAGCAGCAGAGGGGAAGCAGCTGCAGGCCTGGTCCTGCCCCAGCCCCACCCACAGACCTCCCCCGGAGGGATGGAGAGGCGTGGGCGGGAACCTGGAGCTCCCTGGTCAGGCCACCCAGCCGTGGCCCTCACACCCCCCGCACCTCCCAGGTCCTAGGGGACAGATGGCTGCTGCTTCCTTGATTTGGGGGGACGTGTTCGTCCCCCACAGGAAGGAAGCTCAGGCTCTCCCAGCCCCCCAGCACGCAGAGGCTGCAGTCCCCTTCTCCTGGCCGACACCTTGAGCTCCCGAGGCCCCAGGCTGGGAGACTTGTCATCCCAGTGGGTCACCTGGCTCAGGTGTGCTCTCCTGCCCCGCCCCCCACACCAGGACAGCAGGGAGTGAGCTCAGGCTGGGGAGCCAGGAACCCCGCCCTCTGCTCTCTGAGGGCACCTGTGCTGGGAGGAGAGCCAGGGGGGTGTCCCGAGGGGCACCAGGGGCAGGCACCGCAGCGGGCTGGCCGTGGGCACAGACCACGCTCTCGGGTACCGCCTGGCCCCTGGGGTCTGTCTCCTGGGGAGGAGCAAGAGAGTGACAGGCGACAAAGGGGACAGTGATGCGAAGAGCGACTGAGGGGATCACGGAGGGCTCCTCAGAGGAGGCGACGTTGACATCCAGTCTGATGCCAGGGGGCGGCCACCCCAGGGAGGGCAGGCAGGGTGTGGGGACTGTGTCAGCCTCAGGTCCTTCTGGGGATGTGGCCAGAGGGTCAGGTGGGTGGGGCTGACAGGCGGCCACGGATGCCTGCAGATCCCAGCAGCTCCTGTCCCAGGGGAGACCAGAGTGGGGACTGAAGCCCAGGGAGGGGGGTGTCTCTGCAGCAGCCCCTGGTGGCCAAGAGGGGGGGGCGGAGGCCCGCCCTGCCCTCAGGAGCCGCCACCCCTCCTCTTGACAGAATCCCGCTGCACAAGTTCACGTCCATCCGCCGGACCATGTCGGAGGTGGCGGGCCCTGTGGAACACCTGATCGCCAAGGGCCCCCTTTCAAAGTACTACCAGGGGGAGCCCGCCTTGGTCGGGGGACCGGTCCCTGAGATGCTCAAGAACTACATGGACGTGAGTGTGGGGCTGGGGTATCCCTTGGCTGACCCCAAACACTGGGGTAGCCAAAGTCCCCTGTGAGCCAGCAGTTTTGAGCAGTGACCTGCACTGTGGGGGCGGGGCTTCCCCTGGCCACGCCCTCTGCCCGATGGAGAGCTCCTATCTCAGGGTCTGCACCGCCCAGGCTCTCCTGCCGGGCCGAGAGGGTAGGGTTGGGTGGCCTTGGCACCTCTCTGGCATCTACTCCTGTGAACCACCAGCCGTGGCTCAGAGCTGGGCAGGGGTCTCCTTGAAGCCCCCCTGTGGGGAGTGGGGACAGTGTCACCCACTGCAGATGAGGAAGCTAGGCGCAAGGCCACTGGCTGGGCGTAGAGGAACCGGGAACCAGAGACAGGCCTGCCCCTGCAGAGAGGTGCAGCCCAGGGTCCGTGAGGTTGGGTATCTGGGTCTCCCTGCAGGGATGTCACCAATGGCCTTGGAGCTTGGGTCCCTACCCATCCTGCTGGAAGGCCCGGGGCCACCCATGACCCAGCCTGAGGCTCTGCTCTTGGGCCGGGATAGAGGCTCAGAGGTGGAGCGTTCTGGAAGGCACAGGGCAGGCTGGGGCCAGGTCAGCCTCCTCCCAGCACCCGGGCCACCCTCGCTGGGCTCCACCCCTGAGCCCCCGGGAGCCGGCCTCTCGCTGCCCTCCCACCGCTGGTCCACCTGGGGCTGGGGTGGGTGGCTGTGCCTTGTGTCCCGGCTGGCCGGGGCCCCGGCCATGCCGGGGAGCTGGAGCTTCATGGGCATGTGACCGGGCCGGTGGAGGGAGACCAGCTGACCAGTTCCTGTTTGTCCTCCATCCCCACACATTTGGGCACTTGCTGAGTCATGCCCCACCCCCGAATCCGGACACTTTGCTGGGTGGTGACTCAGCAGCGGCTGGTGCCCCTAGAGCCCAGTGGCCAGGAGAGATGGCCCGGGGGACCGTTGGCAGACTGCTGGGGCAACTGGTGCCCCAGGCTCCGTCCCCTGGGGAAGGCAGGGCCCCGGGGTCCCGTTCTCAAGAGTGCCCTCACCATCCTATCTACAAGAGGGCTGAGGGTGGGGCTTCCCCTTGGAGCTCAGAGGGGCGCGTGCTCCCCAGAGCACCCCCAGCTGCCCGTGCGTGCAGATGGGCACCAAGGCCCGGAGTGAGGGAGACCAAGGGGCTCCTTCGGCCACCAGACCCTCTTCCTGGGAGTCCTCCAGGCTTGGCCCCCAAGGGCAGGGACGGGGTGGGAACTGAGGCCCCAGACTCAGGCCCTGACTCGGCCCCCTCCCTGGGGGGCACGCTGTCGCTCCCCTGGGGGCCTGGACCCCCGCGCCGCAGAGGCCCCCCGCCTGAGGCTCAGGGGGCAGGTGGAGCCTTCCGGACTGACTGGACCACTGGCTTCTTGTTTTCAATGGAGGGGGGTCTTCTCTATGCTCGCCCTGGTCAGGCAGGGGTGGGGCTGTGCCCGGGGGCTCGGGGTGGACAGCCTGACCCTCGGTGCCCCTGCCCTGCCCTGCACGGTCAGGCCCGGCCGGGAGGGGGGGCGCCCTGCCCCCAGCACTGAGGGCCCCGCCCCCGCAGGCCCAGTACTACGGGGAGATCGGCATTGGGACGCCCCCACAGTGCTTCACTGTCGTCTTCGACACCGGCTCCTCCAACCTGTGGGTCCCCTCCGTCCACTGCAAACTGCTGGACTTCGCCTGCTGTGAGTCCCGCCCCGTGTCCCGGCCCGGCGCCCGCTCCGCACCGCCCCCGCCCACCTTACACGCATGCGCATGCTCCGCCCGAGGCCTGGGGTGGGGGCTGCGCTGCTGTCCAGCCCCCACCCGTCCCCTGTGGCTGGGAGGTGGCTGCTGGGGCGGAGGGCAGCGCGGCCCTGCATCAGCACCTGGGCGGCACGCTGCGTCCAGCTCTTGGCCACACAGACAGGCCCTGCCCCCAGGGCTCCCCCTGCCCCGTGCGCCCGTCCCTGCCGGCCCTGTTTCTCCTTGGGCCCGGACTTCGGGGCCGAGGATGGAGCCAGCCGTGGGCCAGTTGCCCGCAGGGCTGAGACCACGGTTAGGGGTGTCAGCCCGCCGCCCTGGGCCCCTGGGAGGGCGGCTTGGTGGCTGGGGGCTTGGTGAGGGCAGCCGGCTGCGGGGTGGGGTCGGGGTCGGAGGCCACGGGGGCGCAGGCTGATGGGCCCCCCGCACCGCGCAGGGATCCACCACAAGTACAACAGCGGGAAGTCCAGCACGTACGTGAAGAACGGCACGACCTTCGACATCCACTACGGCTCGGGCAGCCTCTCGGGGTACCTGAGCCAGGACACGGTGTCGGTGAGTCCTCCCCCCGCCCTTCCAGCTCGGCGCTCACCCCACGGGGACCCTCCCTCCGCGAGGACCCCAGCCCCACCCCCGGGCAGGGGCTTGGCTGGCCCGCTGGGGGCGCTGTGGGCCGGGATGGCCCGCCCCCATCCGCTGGGCGGGGGGCGGGGCCTGGAGGGGAGGAGGAGCCCCGTGGGCTCAGCGGGGAAGGGACAGCGAGTGTGGACCCAGCCAAACTCGCGCCTGGGGACAGCCGGAGGGATGGGAGGGGACCGTGGGGAGGGGAGGAGCTGCTGACAGGGGCCGGGATCTCGACATCCAGCAGTGGCGGGGGCCCAGCCCACAGGTGCGAGCCTGGGACCAGGACCCGTGGGCGGGGGGCGGGCAGGAGGGAGGGCTGGGTTTGAGGTGCCGGGTGGGTGTCTGGGGCCAGCCCTGCGGTGGGGGGCGGCCTGTCACAGGGGAGGCTGAGGTGTGGGGAGCCGTTGGGACACCTGGCAGAGGGTTAGCCACAGAGGACGTGGGGGGCGGGGCAGGAGAAGGGCTGGGGGTGCCGTCGGGCCCCGCCTATTGCAGGGGGTCTACCGGGACGTGCTCCTCCCTTGAGGACAGGCCTGCGGGCCCCTGACGGCCTCTGGCTGTGGAGCTGACCCGGGACTGGCCCGGGAGTGCTCGGGGGTGAACAGCGCAGGGAGATGGGCCCCTCCAAGCCCGAGCCCCATCCCCCGGAGGTGCAGGAAGGCAGTGAGTGGGGGGCAGCTCCCCTGCTCACCGTACGCCTCCATCCTGAACACGGGGGGCCTGCACCTGTGCCGGCATGAGGACCCCCCCTCAGCGTCTGTGTGTCTGCGGTGGGCGCGCTCCAGGTCTTCCCCCCCGGGCCCAAAGCAGGATGTGGCCCAGCGCACCCCCTCCTCAGAGTCACCGCACAGGCTGTCTGTCCCCACATCCTGCACTCTGCCTGCAGTCTGGGGGGCGGGGGAGGGGCCTCTCTGCCAGTGGGTGGGGTCGTGGGGTCCCAGCCTCCTGGGCCATCATGGGGCAGGACCTGCCCATGTGGGGGCGTGGGGCTGGGGCTGAGAAGGCGCCTCCCCCGGCCCTCCCCCCCAGCCCTGTGGAGGTGGGCCTTCCGGATGCAGGTGCACCCCCAGCCATTCCCACCGCCCCCCCTCCCCCCGCCACGGCCAGCCCTGTCTCCCTGCCCTGGTGGGTCCCAAGTGCCAGTGCTGGGCAGCAGCCGAGCTGGGACGGCCTCTCTGGGGCCCGGGGCCGGCGTGCTGACCGCCCGCGGCCCGCAGGTGCCCTGTGACTCGGCCGCGTCGGGCGCGGGCGTCAAGGTGGAGAAGCAGATCTTCGGGGAGGCCACCAAGCAGCCGGGCATCACCTTCATCGCGGCCAAGTTCGACGGCATCCTGGGCATGGCCTACCCCCGCATCTCGGTCAACAACGTGCTGCCCGTCTTTGACAACCTCATGCAGCAGAAGCTGGTGGACAAGAACGTCTTCTCTTTCTACCTGAACAGGTGGGCGGGCCGGGCTGCGTCTCTGCCCAGCCCAGCCCTGCCGCGGCGCAGGCGGGCAGGGGCGGGGGGACGGGGTGGCCTGCAGGGGCCCCGTGTCCCTGCCATGGGCCCCGGGCCGCAGCCCCTGGCCCCTGGCCTGAGGTAGATGGGGCAGTCCCCAGCCTCCAGAGGGGGCTGCGTCTCCCCAGGGGCCGTGCTCCGGCCGTGTGTCCAGAGCCCTGGTCAGCGGGTCTTGCCTGTGCCAGGACCAGATCCGGCGATGGGCAGAGATAGCCCCTGGGTTGCTGGCAGCCCAGAGTGGGCAAGGCCTCGAGTCCAGGGCCGAGAACGGGCTGGCCCGACTCAGGTGCCTGGTGCACCTCCTCCTGGAAGCCCTCCTCGGCTCCCCTCCTTGGGCTCCAGCATTCTCTTCCCCTCGTGGCCACTGGCCTGACCCTGGCCGTCCTAAGCGGACCCGGAGGCCCTGAGGCCAAGCGCAGTGCTGGACGTGGGGCTAGGCCAGCAGCCCACTCGGGGGGCGGGGTCAGAGCCCCTCTCCTGAGAGCAAGGGAGGTCCCGTTCCTCCTTGTGCCTCTTCCGGACCCTTCCATCTCTGCAGGCCCAGGAAGGCCCCCACTCAGGCAGGCTCTCTGAGCTTGCCCCATCCACCCCTGACCTCTGACCTCCCGGCCCACCCGGTCCTCTCCCGCGGGACCCTGGGTGGGCAGGGGGCCAACTTGCCCTCCCTCTCCTCGCAGGGACCCCAACGCGCAGCCCGGGGGCGAGCTGATGCTGGGCGGCATCGACTCCAAGTACTACAAGGGCTCCATCACCTACCTCAACGTCACCCGCAAGGCCTACTGGCAGGTCCACATGGACCAGTGAGTGCGGGGCTCGGGCCCCCGGGGCAGGGGTCTCGGGGGATGGGGGCAGTGGGACGGGCCCGGACCCTGCGCCCCGTGGCCCTGGGTGCCTCTCGTCACCTCCTGGTGCCCACGCCTGCACACGGCCACTCGGGGCCACTCGGGGCCTGGGCGTGTGCTCCTGGCCAGCGGAGCCTGTCCTGAGGAAGAGGAGGGGGAGGTGTCCTGCCAGGCGCCGTGGGGGGCCGTGGGGGCTCACGCCGCCCCCCCCCGCCGCAGAGTGGCCGTGGGCAGCGGCCTGACCCTGTGCAAGGAGGGCTGCGAGGCCATCGTGGACACGGGCACCTCCCTGCTGGTGGGCCCCGTGGAGGAGGTGCGGGAGCTGCAGAAGGCCATCGGGGCCGTGCCCCTCATCCAGGGAGAGGTGAGCGGGCCGGGCGGGGGGTGCGCACGGGGGCACGGGGGCGCCCCGGGCTGCGGCCCCCTCCACGCTGCCCTCTCCTCCTCCTCCTCCAGTACATGATCCCCTGCGAGAAGGTGTCCAGCCTGCCCGAGGTCACCCTGAAGCTGGGAGGCAAAGACTACAAGCTCAGCGCGGAGGACTACACGCTCAAGGTGAGGGGCGGGCGGGGGGCGGGAGGTGGAGGCCACCTGGGCACGGGGCGCGGGGCGGGGGGGCTGGCAGTCTCTCCGGCGGTGACACTCTGGCCGTCTCAGGTGTCCCAGGGCGGCAAGAGCATCTGCCTCAGCGGCTTCATGGGCATGGACATCCCGCCGCCCGCGGGCCCGCTCTGGATCCTGGGGGACGTCTTCATCGGCCGCTACTACACCGTGTTCGACCGCGAGGACAACCGCGTGGGCCTGGCCGAGGCCACCAGGCTGTAGCCGCCCGCCCGCCCGCCGGCGGGAAAGGAGAGTCCATCTGTGGGAGGCGGCGGCTGGCTGCCCTCCTGGTGTCCACCCCCCTGCACACACTTGCACACTCACTCACAGTCGCCTGCTCACGGCCCAGCTCTCCAGGCCGCTGGCCTGATAGCCTCTGCTGTTCTGGAATTTCTCCTGCCCTGGTTTCGGAACGCCGCCCGTCTGCCTGCCTGCCTTCCTGACGGGGTGCTGGGGCCCCCCGGGGGGCTCACTGGGTCCCCCTCACACTGGGAGGACCCAGCTCAGCTTGGAGGCCATGGGCTGTGCGCCCGAGGACACCCCCACCGGTGTCCTGCCAGGGCCAGGCCTCCGGGCTGAGCGCCCCCACTCGGCACCGGGCTGCCTCCCCGGGTCCCCCTCTGCCCAGCCTGGGGCCTGGAGCTGGGCGCTGCTGGCCGGCTCTCCTGTCCGTTTGGGTTGTCTCCGGCCCGGCCAGCCAGGGCCAGCTGAGGCCTGGGGACCAGCAGGGAGGAGCCGGAGGCGGTGGGAGGGGACAGAAGCTGGCCCAGTGATGCCTGCGGTCACCCTGGTCCTTGTCCCCACTAGGGAGGGCGTTGTCTGGCCCGAGGTGGGGCGGGAGGCGGGTGCTCCCAGACCCTTTCTGAGGCTGTCCCCTCTGGAGCGGCCGGGGGCCGAAGTTGATGTGAAAAATAAAGTTGCTGGGGCCGCCTCCCGTGTGTGGGCCTGTTTTCTGCTGCGGGGGGGGGGGTGCCGGCATTTGGGGGCTGACTCCGAGGGCTTCAGGGCAGAGGTGCACTTCGCCTGGGACCCTGGAGGCTTGAGCCAGCTGCCCTGCCTTGGGGGGCAGGGCTGGCTTGTCCCTTAGCCTGGACCAGTGACCACCGGGGTGTGGCCTGGGCTGGAGGCCGCAGGGCCCTGCCCCCGCACAGCCATCCCTGTCACCGAGGCGTGACTGCCAGGGTGTCCTGGAGAATGCACCCATTCAGAGGGGACCTTGGCGGCAGGGCCCCCGGAGTCCCGCCTGGGCCTAGGAAGGGCACCTCTGTGTGGCCGGTGGCGAGTGGGCGGCCTGCCTCCCGCCCGGCTTCCTGGCTGCCAGCTCGGAAGCGGCCTCTGTGTGGGGCGTGGGCTGAGCCAGCCCACCAGGGTCCACAGGGTTCGGGGGTCTGAGTTAGGAATCCCCCCAGGCCACAGCGACCCCCACCCGGCTCAGGGCCTCGGCCAGGGCAGGTGGGGGTCAGCTGCCCCGGTGCAGCTGGGAGGTTCTGAGGGAAGGGACGGGTGTCCGCACCTGCTGGGGGGGCCTGCGTGGCCACGTCTGCCGGAAAACGCCGGGCCAGGGAGGCGGTGAGGCCAGTGCGCGCGCACCCAGAGTTCTCGGCGCCGGAAACCTGAGCCGGCAGCCGGCTCACTGCAGGGCCTGGCAGGGCTTCTCGGGCGGCGGCGGCGACGTCACAGCCGGGTGCTGTGCCCTGAGAGGCCCAGGGGACAGGCCCAGGGGAGGCCCGGGGCTGCCGAGGGTGCCTTCCGGCTGTCTGCCGCCCCGCCGGCCCAGCCCCCGCCCCCGCCCCCGCCCCCGCCCCGGAGGTCCACAGCAGTCAGCTCCCCATGCGTGCGGGGCCCTCTCGGCTGGATTCTCCCCGTCAGGTCTCCGAAGGGCACCCCGCCCCCCTCAGGGCCCGGCCACCAGCCCAGCCAGACCCCTGTTGCTGTGGGTCAGCACGGCTGAGCCCCCAGCCCCAGGCCAGGCCACATGGCCATCCGTGCAGAGCCTGGGGCCTGGCGGCCGCCCTGACCCCACCCTCAGCCCCCAGTGTCCCTCGAACATGGGTGATAGTGGGGCACCCCTCACTGGGGACCTGCCCACTGCCCGGAGGACCCAGCGGGCCTGAGGGTGAGGGTGGGGGTGGCCTTTCGCAGCCCCTGACCCTGCCTGGGTGAGGCTGCGCGCCCAGGAGCCAGACCAGGTCCAGCCCCTCTCCTCACCCACTCAGGGTGGCGGCCGGGAGAGGGGGGCCCACCATGCCCTGTGGCAGGCACCCGTGGGCCAGGTGGACCAGGTGCAGGCCAGGCCCTCAGTGTCACCTGCGGCCCCCGCCAGGGTAGCTAGGGGGAGGCCAGCTCGGGGGCCGGGCCCTGTGGTGTGGGAGGGCACCTTGGGTCAGGCCCAGCCCTGACCTGAGGAGGGGGGTTCGGGTGCCCCCAAGCCAACCGAGGGAGGACTGACCCCTGGCCTCCCAGCAGACCCCACCTACCTGTGCCTGAGGCCCTGGGCTCCTAGGGGGCGTGGCCAGCGGGGGCGGGGCTGGTGCTTGGGAAGCCCACCCACTCACGGAAGGTTTTGTCAGCAAGAGGAGGACTGGCTGTGGGTTCCTGACCAGCGGGGAGGGGCAGGGCTGGGGGGGCTAGGGAGGGGCCTGTGAGGGGCTGGGGCCTGCCCCAGGCGAGGGGACACGCAGAGTTTCCAGAAAAGAAGGGGGACAGAGAGGCCCGGGCAGAGGTGGGCAGGACTCCGAGGAGAGAAGGGGTCCCTGGGAAAGGCTCAGAGCAGAGAGGGTCGTGGGCAGAGGGGGCCGAACCCCGCCGGGGCCCCTGGGAGCGGGAGGCCGGGAGGACGGCTGTTGTGCCTCAGGGTGGCGTTCGTGAGGCTTTGGAGGGTCCAGGTCCCTTGGGGGGCTGTGGACAGGGAGGGGGACCCAGCTCAGGGAGGCTCCCGTGGTTAGGTGCCAGGAGTTCCCCGTGAGGGGTCACTGGGACTTTTGCAGGCACGGGAGGTCAGCTGGGGTCACGGGGTGGGGCGGATGCAGACCCTGAGGCTGTCACAGGGCAAGTGGCTTGTGGGGACAGAACCCGGGCGGGGGGTGGGCGGGAAGGGGGGACACCAGGTGGACCAGGCCGGGACTCCCAGATGCGCATACGGGCCGGTGAGCGGACGGAGCTCCAAGGAGACAAGGGTCACGCAGGCTCGGAGAAGAACATCTGGCCCCACGGGCAGAGGGGCTGAGCCGGGAGACCTCAGGGGCTGCGAGGCCAGAACCGGTGAGGGGGCTGGATTAGTGGGGGCCGGGCACCCCCTTGACGGGGGTGGGCTCAGAGAAGCCGGGCCATGTGGGGACCACAGACTCCCCGGAGGCCTGGACGTGGGGGCTCAGGAGGCCGGTGCTGGGGGGGCCTCTGGCTGGGGACGGGACTGTGCAGGGCAGGCAGCCCAGTGAGGGCATGGGGGGGCCCATCCTGTCCGGAGGGGGGCTGCCACTGGGGGCTTGGGGCAGCAAGGGGTCAGGTGCATGGGCCTGCCGGTGAGGGGGGGGCTCCACTGGGGGCATGGGTGTGCAAGGGCAGGAGGTAGGGGGCTCTTTGGGGAGACAGCTGGGGGGACCCAGGCAGGGGGTGGGCTGCTACAAGGGTCGGGGGCACAGCAAGAAGGAGGAGCCGGAGGCAGTGGGCAGCGGGGCCCCTGGGAGCCTGGGCGGTGCGGGCGCAGGGTTGGGCTCTGTGGGGTCGCCATCCCCGGCCGGCCCTGCAACCCCTGAGGGTCAGGCTTCCTGCCCGCGGCACGGCCCCCACCCCGCCTGCGGGAGGAGGCGGGGAGGTGGCTGCGCCCGCCTCGGCCGCCGCCGTGAGTCAGGCTCCGGCTGCAGCAGCGCGGCCCGGCTGGCGCTGCGGAGCGAGAGCAGACAGCGGGGAGGCAGCGCCGCCAGCCCCGCGCCCTCCCCGCCCCCCGCTCCACGCTCTCCCCGCACCGAGGCTGGGACGCTGGGACGCGGAGCTGCCGGACACACAGCGGCCCGCGGGACGGCGGAAGGACGCGCGGACGGAGCGCCGGGGTCGGACCCGCCGGCCCAGGAGTCGCCCGTGAGTGAGTCCCGGACCTGCGCCGGCTGGGGCCCGGCCGGGGGCTGTGGGGCTTCGGCAGACCACCCCCCAGCGGGGCGCGGGGCGCGGACGCCTGGGTGCCTCGTTGGAGAAGTGTTGGTTTCGCAGAGGGTCATTGTGCGCCGGTTCCCAGCGCAGGCTGGGTGGCTCCCTGCGAGCGCGCGCGCTTGGTGTCCCGGCGCCGCTCCGGCCGGGGGTGGGCGGTGGGGACGTCGCTGCGCGCGAGTTTGGAGCCCCCGCAGCCTCGGCGCTCTGCGTCGTTGTGTGTGTCCACGCTGCGTGTCACGGTGCGGAGCTGTTTACCTGGCGGCGCCCGGGAGCGCACGGGGTGTGCCGGGCCGGGAGCGCCCCACGGGGTGGTGGCATGTGCGCGAGGTGCCAGCGGCGCGGGGCTGCAGGTGTCCAGGCAGCCCGGCTGGCGCCGCCAGGCCGGCTGAGGCCGTGTCATTGCGGGGGGGGGGGGGGTTCTGCCCTGCGTGTGCGCAGAGGTGTCTGGGGAGCTGGCAAGCTCCGTGCACCGCCGCGGCGCATCAGTGGGGCCTTGTTGGGTGTGTGGGGGGGTGCTGCTGGGGTGTGCCTGGGGGCGAATGTTTGTGCGCAGATGGAACTCGATGAAAAGCCCCCAATGTTTGTGCCAAGGCTGCTGTGAAGGGCTTCGGCAGGCCAGCGGCCAGGGCGGCGGGGGAGGCAGGTGGCAGGCCGGCAGGCTGGCAGCCGGCCGCCTTGGCGGGGAGCTCCGTCTCCCTCGGGGCTGCCGCTGGACTGCTGCAGGGGTGATACCGTGGGGAGCCGAGGCGGCCCAGCTCACGCTTCCTCCTCCCTCCTCGCAGGCCCAGGGCCCCGGCCAGTGCCCAGCCCCGCTGGGAGCCCCGGCCAGCACCACGGACGGCGCCCCGGAAGCCCGAGTGCCCCTGGACGGGGCCTTCTGGATCCCCAGGCCGCCGGCGGGCTCGCCCAAGGGCTGCTTCGCCTGCGTGTCCAAGCCGCCCGCCCTGCAGGCGCCGGCGGCCCCCGCGCCCGAGCCCTCGGCCTCGCCCCCCATGGCGCCCACGCTGTTCCCCATGGAGCCCAAGGGCGGCAAGACGGACAGCGTGCGGGTGGGCGGCGGCGCCCCCCCGGTCTGCAAGCACCTCGCGGAGAAGAAGACGATGACCAACCCCGCGACGGTCGTCGAGGTGTGCCCCGACACCAGCGAGGTGAACGACTACTACCTGTGGTCCATCTTCAACTTCGTCTACCTCAACTTCTGCTGCCTGGGCTTCATCGCGCTGGCCTACTCCCTCAAGGTGCGCGGCCGCGGGGGGTGGGGGGCCCCGCCCCCTCCGAGAGGCCGGGGTGCAGCCCGGGGGGCCGAGGGACACGAGGACGGAGGGGGGTGGGTACATAGTACAGAGAAGGGCGTGGCCAGCCCTGGCCACCCCCCCCACCCCCGCCGCCCAGTGCGGAGCTGGGGAGCCTTGGGGTGTGCCGAGAGGCCCAGCCTCCTCAGGGCCAGGGGCTCGGCCTCGCCAGCTCGGTCAGGGTCCTGTCCTCTCCGCAGGGCCTGTGGGAGTCAGATGAGGCACGCGTGTGGGGCGGAGCCGCGTGGCGACAGACAGGCCTTGGGTCCTCCCCCCGTGGGCAGGAGGAGGGTGAAGGCAGGGGTGCTCGCTGGTGGCCGGGTCCCAGCCCCTCGACCAGGGAATCCGACGCCAGGCAGACGGTGGGACGGAGGGGGCCCCGGCGGACTGGTCACTGGTGCGGGCTCTCGGCCTCCCACCAATACGCGTGGTTTCGGGACAGTCTTTCCGGGCGGCCGGGACCCAGGGGGAGAGCCGTGCGCACATCCCGTTGACCCCTGACCCCACCCCCTGGGGGCGACGTCCAGAGGCCCCTCAGGGCTGTGAGAGGAGCGGGCCAGGGGCAGGCGGGGGGACGCCACACAGACAGGACCGCGGCCCCTCCCGGGGGTGGGCTGAGAGACCCCCGCAGCCGAGTGTGCCAGGACGGAGGCCAGGGCTGCCGCCCCCTCCCCCATCACTCCAGAAGGGCCTGGTGCACGCCTCGTGAGATCATCCCTCTCCCCCAAGTGCAGTGGCCAAGGTTGGGGGCATCTCACTGACCGCAGCTGCCCAGTGAGGTGGGGACGGCGGGGAGGGAGGAGCAGCGGGCTGCAGGACGAGGGGCCAGGCCAGAGGGGCTGGGCGGGGGGGTGGGACACTCAGTTCTGCCCCGGGGCCTCTGGGAGCCCCACCCGCCCTCGCACCCCCACCCGACCCCCGGCTCTCCCGTCCCCCTGACCCGCCTTCGCTTCACCGCCACCTGCTGCCGTCCACCCCTGCGTTCGGGCCCGGGCAGCTGGTGCTGGACGTCGCCACGTGCGGTCGGTGCCGTGTGAGTGTGTGTGCGTGCGTGTGCATTGAGGTGAGGTGTGTGAGCATGCGTGAGTGCATTGTGGGTGAGCATACAGGTGTGAGCATGCAAGCACACACGGTACGGGGGGTGTGGGCATGAGTGAGTGTGCACACATGAGTGTGACTGCATGCACACGTGTGTGCACACACGTGTGCGATGGCGCGCACGACTGTGAGTGCAACTGTGTGGGAGTGTGCATGCGTCTCAGTGTGTGCATGTGTGTGTGGTTGCACACGCGGTGTGTGTGCGAGGGGCTGTGCGTGTGCTCCAGAGGCAGCCAAGGGGAGGGTCCCTGCGAGCTGCGGGGTGGAGACTCCCGGGCCGCACTCAGCTCGGCCCCTGCGGGTGCCCTCTGGCCGGGCCCCGCCCGCAGCCTGTGGCCGAAGGTCGGGCGGCGCGGACTCCTGTCCGGAAGCGTCCCTTCCTCCCCATGGCCGGCGCCGGCTGTGGGCGGCCAGCTGGCACGGGGCAGGTCCATCTGCTGCGGGCTGTAGGTAGGTAGGTCATGGGCCGCTGAGCGGCTTCGTGCCGGCTGGGCAGGGGGAGAGTGGGTGCTTCTCAGGGACAGCGGGTGCTCGGGCGCCTGCGCCCCAGACCCCTCCCCAGTGTTCCTCCTCCCTGGGGCCCGCAAGGGCGGAGCGGTCTGGGGCACACCTGCCGGGGGGGGGGTGCAAGGCAGGCGGGCCGGGGCAGGGGGGCAGGCTGGGCTGGACCCAGCTCTCGCGCCCGAGGTTCCATCCACCTGTCCATCCAGCTGCCCGTCTCGGACCTGCTGCCCCGCAGTGTCTGCAGCCCACCCGGGGCGCGCCCAAGGGTGCCTGACTGCTGCAGGGGCAGGAGGCCTTGGCCACGCGCCCAGGGTGGTCCCGTAGGAGCAGGGAGTTCTGGAGACGCCGCTTTGCCTCCCTGAGCCCGGCTCTCCCTCGTTCACGGACCAGGCAGAAACCCAACGGCACGCGGGCGCCCGTGCGCCGGGCAGGGGCTGGCGCCCGGCGGGTGCGAAGCCATGAGTGGTGCACCCCGCCTGCCCCCGTCTGCTTGTCCACCCTGCACGCAGGGCGGCCGGCCCCCTGCGCCCACGCCAGCCGGCTGGCTCCGCTCGCTGCAGGCTGGGGCTGCCACACACAGAGGGCCTCCTGGTCTTGCTCAACCTGGTGTCCGGGACGGCGAGACCGAGCCGGTCCTCCATCCACGCGGTCTGCTGGGGGGCTCGTGGCGGCCCCTGCCCCGAGCTCGCACTGTGGAGGAAGACCCGGCTCCTCTTTGTGTGGGCATTCAGCGCCCCCTCCCCCCACCAAGGTCCATTTCAACCCTGCCCTGGCCTCCCCGGCCCCAGACACTCCATGAGGGCGCCTCGGGGTGCCCCTTGCTGCCCCCCACCCAGCTTGAGAGATGACCTGGGTCTCTTCTGTAAATGCTCCGCTCTCTCCCTCCGGCTGAGCCCCCTCCCCAGCAGAGACAGCCCCACCCCAGCCAAGGCTGCCCACCTGCCCACCCTGCTAACAGCTGGGTCGGAGTGCTGAGTGGACGGGCGAACGGGCGGAGGCCAGGAGGCCAAATGGACCAAGCAGGCACGAGGCGGCAGCGGCAGCGGCACCGGCTCGGAGGGCGTCCCGGGTGGAGGAACCAGAAACAGCCCCGAGGGCCGGGCAACTCGGGGAGGGCGGCGCGGCCCGTGGTCTGCGCGGGGAGAGGGGGTGGCCCTGGAGAGGCAGGCTGGAGCCTGGCGGGGAGGGTCCGGACCCCCTTGCGAGGGCTTGCCCCTCATCCCCTGCAGACACGGGGTGGGGCGGGGGTGGGGGGTGGAGGGGGAGGTCCATCAGGGCTGTGAACTCGGCAGGGAGGGTGGGAGGGGCCAGGGGCAGAGAGGAGGGCGGGCCTGGGGCAGGGATGGCGACAGGAGGGAGGGGCAGAGGGATTGCGGGCGCAGCAGCCACTCAGTGTGGGTCCCAGAGGCCGAGAGACGACCCGGTGACAGGGAGCGGTAAGAACATGTCAGGAGGGACGGCAGGGCGTCCCTTCCTGTGTGTGTGTGTTTGCCCGCCCCCTGCTTCCAGAACACCAGCCTCGTCCATCCAGCTGGCATCCGGCAGCATCCACTGTTCACCCATCCCTCTGTCCGTCCATCCATCCATCCATCCCCCCCATCCCCCCATCCTCCATCATCTTCCACCCATCCGTCCATCCATCATTCACCCATCCACCTGTCTATCCACCTGTCCATCCCTCTGTCTATCCATCCATCCTCCCATCCACCCGTCTGTCCACCTGTCCATCCCTCTGTCTATCCATCCATCCTCCCATCCACCCGTCTGTCCTCCACCATCCTCCATCATCTTCCATCCATCCATCCCTCCATTCCCACATCGACCCACCCATCCATCCACCCGCCCACCCATCCGTGTTCGCACGTGTCAGTTAAGCTTCCTCCTCTCCCTCTCCCCGCCCCCTCACCTGTCTCCCACGCCAGCTCACGTCACTGTCCCTCTGACCGCACTCTCAGTCGCTCACCCACTTTACTCGCCAACTCTCCCCATCGCTCCCCACCTGCCCGCCCACCCAGGGCCACACACCTGTCCGCCATCCCTGCTCCCCACGGCTCTCCCAGCCAGCCCTCATCTGTCCACTCGTCACGCACCCCTTGCACACGCGTCTTCACTCATCAGCACCAGCTGACCCCTCAGCTCGTACCATCTGCCCACGTGAAACACCCACGATCCTTGTTTCTGTTTTCCCTCCCGTCTCATCCCCCATGTGCCCAACTGTTCATGCATCCACTCCCCAACATTGTCCTGTTCTCTTCCTTCCTCTTGTCCTTTCCCTTCCACTCCACGTGCCGAGTTCATTACCTTCGTATCCGTCCATCTGTCCACCTGTCCATCCTTCCATCCATCTCTCCATCCATCCATCCACCCATCAATCCTTCCATCCTTCCATCCATCCGTCCATTGGTCCATCCATCCATCCATCCTTCCATCCATCTGTCCATCCATCCATCCACCCATCAATCCCTCCATCCTTCCATCCATCCATCCATCCATCCTTCCATCCATCCATCTATCCATCCATCTGTCCATCCATCCATCAATCCCATCCATCCCATCCATCCATCCCATCCCATCAATCCCATCTGATCCATCCATCCATCCATCCATCCATCTGTCCATCCATCCATCCACCCATCAATCCCTCCATCCTTCCATCCATCCATCCATCCATCCACCCATCAATCCCTCTATCCTTCCATCCATCCATCCATCCATCCATCCATCCATCCATCCATCTATCCATCCATCTGTCCATCCATCCATCCATCTCTGTTCACTGTATCCATCGATTTCATTTGTCCATCCACCTACCTGCCCAAGCACTCACCTGTCTTGCGTTATGACACTTCCTAATTTTCACCTCCCTCTCCATCCATCCATCCGCTTCCCTCCCCCTCCCCCTGCCCCCACCCCCGGCTGCGTACGCAGTTCTCCCGGACCACCACCCAGCAGCACCCCAGTCGCTCATCCCTACCCAACTCGTCGGCCACGTACCCGTTCATCTCCCCACCCCTTCCCTGGTCTTTTTTTAAATTATATTTTATTGATTGTGCTATGATAGTTGTCCCGACTTTCCTCCCTTTGCTCCCTCCACCCTGACTCCCTCAGGCAGTCCCCCCACCCTTGTTCGTGTCCACGGGTCGTGCGTGTAAGTTCCTGGGCTAGTCCACCTCCTATGCTGCGCTTGACATCCCCGTGGCTGTTCTGTAAGCACCTATTGGTGCTTCTTAATCCCCGCACCCCTCACCATCCCCCACCCCTATCTCTTCATCTTCACCCTTTGGCGTTTTACTTGTGATGTTTCTGCAGGGGGAGGGGCCTCCTGGGTCTGTCTTGTTTGGGACTCTCTGTGCTTCCTGGACTTGCGTGTCTATTTCCTTCGCCAAGCTAGGGAAGTTTTCTTCACCATTTTTTCAGATAGATTCCCAATGTCTTGCTCTTTCTCTTCTCCTCCTGGCACCCTTATGATGAGAACATCAGTTCCCTTGAGGTTGTCCCAGAGGCTGCTAATACTGCCCTCATTTTTTGGATTCTCTTTTCTTCTTGCTGCCAGGATTGTTTGCTTGGTTGGTTGGTTGGTTGCTTGCTTTTGCTTCCTTATGTTCCGAATCACTGATTCGATTCTCGGCTTCATGTTCCCTGCTGTTGTTTCCCTGTATGTGCCTTGTTCTGTACTTCAGCCAGTGCATCCTTCGTCCTGACCGGGTCCTTGGGCATCCTTGTAACCAGTGTTTTGAACTCTGCCTCTGATCGGTTGCTTTCCTCCACTTCATTCAGCTCTTTTTCTGGAGTTCTCGCCTGTCCTTCCCTTTGGGCCACCCGTGTTCCTTGGTCTCCTCGTTTTGGCGGCCTCGCCGTGTTTGCTTCCCCGTGTGTGGGGGGGGGGCTGCTGCGGCCCCGTGTCCTGCTCACGTGGCCCAGCGTTCATGGGTCTTCGTACACACCTCCCCCTTCTTCCCACCTCCCCCTTCTTCCCATCTCCCCTCCTTCCGGTTACTTCCGCTCCAGCCGCTCACCCGTCCAGCTGCCCCCCGACGCCCCGCCCACTCTTTCTTCTATCTTTTCTCCCTCCTCCTGCCCACCTCTGCCCCTTCCCGAACACAGCACCAGCCACACACCCACGTGTTCATGGGGGCTCCAGCCTGCAACACTGGCGTGAGTCCCGGGGCCTTACCTTAGTAACCTCATCCACCTGCATCTAAGTTTTCTTCCTACAGAAACGGGGGTGCGCCTCACTCCCGCCGAGAGGTGGCCGAGAGGACTGACTGAGTTAATACCAAGCTGTACTCTTTTTTTAAAAGATATTATTTATTTATTTTTAGAGAGGGAAGGGAGGGAGAAAGAGAGAGAGAGAGAAACATCCATGTGCAGTAGCTGGGGGGCCGTGGCCTGCAACCCAGGCATGTGCCCTGACTGGGAATCGAACCTGTGATACTTTGGTTCTCAGCCCTCGCTCCATCCACTGAGCTACGCCAGCCAGGGCCCAAGCTGTACTCTTAACACAGTGCCATTGTTACTTCCCATACGCCCATTCTCCCCTGTCCCTTCGTTTTAAAGGCTTTATTTATTTTTAGAGAGGGGAAGGGGAGGAGGGAGAGAGGGAGAGAGACATCACTGTGTGGTTGCCTCTCACATGCCCCCGACCGGGGACCTGGCCCGCAGCCCGGGCGTGTGCCCTGACCGGGCATTGAACTGGGGACCTTACGCCTCCCCGGACGACGTCCAACAAGCCGAGCCACACGGGTCAGGGCCCTTCTCCTCCGCTCTGACCCCGCCACCCCTGCCCCTTCGCCTGCCCCGTGGGTGGTTTTTACCCAGCTCCTCGTTCATTCGTCAGTGCGCACGCCCATCAGCCTCACCCAACCACCCGCCCTTTCCCTGGCTGCGCGCGTCTCTGACCGTGTCCCCGCCATCTGTCCTCTGCCCGCCCCCTGTCCTCTGCCCGCCCCGCCCCTCCCCCCCGCCCACCGTGACCACGCACCCGTCCACTGGTCCACAGGCTGAGGACGCTCTATGCACGTGCCCGCTCTTCTTCTCGACTGTCCGTCGCCCCCTCTACCCCGCTGTCCACAGCGCCCCCCGCACCCCCTTTTCTCCCGTACCCGCCCCTCTTCCCTTTACTGCGTCACTGGGACTCTTCGCCGCGCACCACGAAGTAGTCCCGGCTCCCGCTCACCCGTTCTCCATCCGCCCTCGCCTCTCCCTCCCCCTTGTCCCAGCCCACGGACACGCCCCTCCCAGTCCTCCAGCCTCTGCCAGCCCCTGTGTCCACGCGCTGTCCCCCCCTCCTTCGCCGCTCCCACCCCACCCTCGTCTTCTGTCCGGTGCACACCCAGGCCGACTGTCGGTGTGTTGTATCCGTGTTCTCTCCTCGCTCACCTCCTCCCGCCAGGCTGTACCCCTCTCTCTGCAGCCACCCCCCCTACCTCACTCTGGTGGCCACGCCCACGGCCCCCTCCCCCTCCCTCCCGGCTCCCACGCGGGAACCCCAGCAGAGCCGCGTCCTGATGCGCTGCTCCATCACCGGACCGCGGTTCATTCAAACCAGCCAGCACCCCCCTCTGCCGAGTCGTGTATTCCCCGCACAGCGCAGTGGGTGCGCTCTCGGGCGCCCAGTCAGGGACAGGCAGCACGCAGTCCGCGCCCACGGGAGCCCAGGTCTGGCGGGGTGTCGGAGGGCGGTGAGACTCCGGGCTGTGCGTGCTGGGTGCTGGCGTCAGCTCGGGAGAGGGAGGCAGGCACGGTCGGGGAGGTGCGGGGGGGCTGTCCCGCAGGGGGCGGGCCAGGGAAGCCTCCCCACGTCAGCCTGGGTGGGCCCGTGCGGCTCCCTCCCACGGAGCTTCTGGGGGGCGGGGTCCAGGGCCAGGGGGCGGGGGTCGTGGAAGCCCCCAGGCGGAGTTAGGCCGTGGGGCGGGCCCAGGGACTGGAAGAAAGAAATGGGGACTGTTGTTTATGTCACACAGGAAACGTGGTTGATGATCACAATTAGTTAATCCGATCATTAAGCTGGATGCAAACTCAGTCCACAAAAGTCGGACAGATTTTTTTTTAAGATTTTATTTATTTATTTTCAGAGAGGGAAGGGAGGGAGAGAGAGAGAGAGAGAAACATCAATGTGCGGTTGCTGGGGGCCGTGGCCTGCAACCCAGGCATGTGCCCTGCCTGGGAATCGAACCTGCAACACTTTGGTTCCCAGCCCACGCTCAATCCACTGAGCTACGCCAGCCAGGCCTTGGATTTTTATACCTTGGTGAAAATTGGCGAGAAATGTAATTCTGGACGAAATGACAATTTAACAACCAAAACAAACAAAGACAAAATCTAACAAGAGATATAACTGCTCTTTCTGGAGAAAATTATACAACTTTGTTTACATTACGAAACTGTATTTTAACGAAGTAAGATCTAAGTAAGTGGGCCTCGACCGTGTTCTCGGAAGGGAAGGCAGACCCCAATAAAGGGGTCGGTTCTCCCCAAAATCACTGGCATCAAACCCCCCAGGAGCCCAGGCCCCCTCCCCACCTTCCCTCCCCTGGTTCCCCCGCCGTCCCTGCACCCACAGAGACCCACCCGCCGGCCACACTCCCGTCCCGCACCCACCTCCGCACCCGCCACACTAGCGACCCATCTAGCCTTTGGTCCGCCCACCCTTCCGCTTCTGACCTCCCGTCCGTCGTTCGACCGACCCGCCCACACATGCGTGAGCCCACCGCCCCGCCCCTGCCTTCGGCCCCCCCACCATCTGCCAATCTGCTGACGCAGAGACGTTCCCTTCCTGCGCCCCCCCACCCCGTGTCTGCCCCATCTCTCCCCAGCCCCCCGGCCCCCTCCTCTGCAGCCCTGCTTTCTGCTGGGGGCTCCGACCCCTGACCCCCGCGAGGGGAGAGTGCCGCGGCGGGGGCGGGGCGTCCTGTGGCCACGCCCTCCCCAGGGCCCTCCGCGGAGTCTCTGCGTGGCGCCCATTCTCTGGGAGTCTCGCCTTAGCTGGGACCGGTCGATCCAGGACCCACGGGTGTTACCCTCCCATCCAGCCGTGTACCTCCCTCCGAGACCACCTTCCCCTTGATTTACTTATTCTCCAGCGTGACTGAGATATCATTGGCGTGGGACACGGTATAAGTTTAAGGCACACGATGTTGCAAAATGATTTCCATCATGAGCTTAGTTGAAACCGCCTCGGCATCCCAGAATTGTGAGGACACGTGACATCTACTCTTTCGGCGACTTTCCAGTGTGTGGCAGTATTGTTAGCCAGGGGCTTGATTTTAAACAATGTCAGGCTAAAAAGACACAAAGAATTCCTGTGTGCCTTTTCCCAGACTCTGGCACCCCGACGTTACCGTGAGCTGTGTTCGCCTTTCCTGCCTTTTCCTCCCCCTGTAAAGGAATGTTATTTATTTTATGTCCGTTTGGGGGTACACTGGGGACACGGTGCCCTTGCCTCCGACAGTCCAGGTGCTGCCCGTGGCCAGGGCCCCGTCCTGGGGCGCTGCCGTGGGTGCCCCGCGCGCCTGCCCCGGCCCACTCCCCAGCCCGCCTCTCCTCCGCGGCTGCAGGTCCGGGACAAGAAGCTTCTCAATGACCTGAACGGAGCGGTGGAGGACGCCAAGACGGCCCGGCTGTTCAACATCACCAGCTCCGCGCTGGCCGCCTCCTGCATCATCCTGGTCTTCATCTTCCTGCGGTACCCGCTCACCGACTACTGAGGCGCCGCCGCCGCCGCCGCCGCCGCCGCTGCGCAGACGGAACGCGGGGAAGGGTTCGATGTCGTGACGGACGCGACGTGGGAGCCGCGGTTGGGGCGGAGCCGGGCGCCGGCCCCAGGCCCCCCTGACGCGGTGAACCTGCCGCGAGGCCCTCGGAGGCTCCCCGTGCGGCGAGGGGCCGCCTGCTCCACGCAGGCCCCGCCCGGCCTCTCGGCCCTCCGCCTGCTTCTGGGCCCTGGTCTCTTCCTGGGCTGCTGCGCCCCTCCTCCCGCGCCCCCACCCAGGCTCCCGGGTCCCGCCAACCCGACACCCAGCAAGAAGGGCTTCTGTGGGAGCTCCCCAGTGTGGGGGGCTGCCGGCATCTGGGGACTCCCTCTCTCCTCCCCAGCCCGGTCCCCTCCAAGCTGTACCCCTGCTCGGAGCGCCGTACCTGTGAATTTTCAATAAAACTCCTGCCCTGCCTCCCGGCCCGGCCTCCTGTCCCTGCCTGGGCAGGCGTGGGGGCGGGTGGGCAGGCGTGGGGGCGGGGCGGGGGCTGCGGTCTGGAGGCCGCGGGACACCACGCAGATGCTGCCTGGTGGCCCGGGCCCCAGGGGCTGCACTCCGGTGACTCTGCCGGGGAAGGTTCGCTCCCTGACTGACCCGGGAGGTCTGTCCGCTCTGCAGGACAGGGGACCCAGGGGGGAGGGGCTGGGAGCATCGGGCGGCCCCTTGAGGAGGAAGGGAGGGGCGGGCACAGCAGGAGCTGCCCCCCCCGGGGCTGGGAGTCGAGCAAAGCCGGGGCGGCACCTGTCCGAGCCCGAGTGGCCAGGCCCGGCCCCTCGCCTGTGAGGTAGGGTGGAGCCTCCCACGGCTCAGAGTGGCTGTGAAGACCGACTGCAGGGCAGCGCGGTGCCAGTTGAAGGTTGTCGGTCCAGGGTCAAGGTCAGCCAGCACCCCGCGGCCAAGACGCTCTGCAGAGAGGAGCTGTGCTCACCACCCTGCGGGGGCGTCTGTCTCCGAACACACGTCTGGTGACTAAGCGGACAACATAAGGGGCTTCCCAGGACACGAGGGGGTCCAGCCCGGGGTCGGGGTTAACCCGGGAGGGGCCGTGTGCACGCAGGGCCCTGGGGGGCGGGGGGCGGGGGCCGTGCCACGGGCGACTCGGGGAGTGAGTGCACGCAGCTCGGGTGCAGAGGAGGAAGGACCCTGTGTCCCGGGCGGTGGGACGGAGCCCCGGGCCCGGGGGGCTGTGTGCTCCCGGCTTTGGGGACGGTGCCGCCTGGAGCGGCAGGACCAGCCTGGAGGGGACAGGGCTGGGGTGTGATGGGGACAGGCTGCAGGGCGTGGGCACCAGGGGACACGGACGGGGCTGTGGGTCACGAGGGCAGCTCAGGCCCTCCCTGACCTCTGTCGCACCTGGAGGGGGCAGGGACACCAGCCGGGGGTGGGGTGTGCTCGCTGTCCTGGCACCTCTGAGGCCAGCCGCCGGCCGACTGCCCGGGCAGGCAGGCTCCAGGAGGTGAGGCACGAGGAGGAGGGGCCCTGGGCCGCTCCTGGAGCCGTGCCCGCCCGCGGAGGCCGCCAGGCTCCTGCCAGGGAGACGGCGCGTCCACCTGGCAGCCGGCAGCGTCACCCGAGCTGACAGCCGTCCTTGTCCACTCCTGGCAGCGGAGGGCACACGGCCAGACACCAGCGCCCGGCTCCCACTGCGTCAGGCTCCGGAGAGGGCCGTCGCCCACGGGGTGTCCAGCCGGGGTCAGGGCCCTCGGCAGGCCCGCCCCACCCCGCCCTGGCCCCACTTTCCCGTGGTTCTGCACTGGGCCCGGCACACATCGGCCCGTCCATAACCCCCGTGTGCGCCGGTGGGTGCGAGAGACGGGGGCCGCTGCCTGGACCAACCGGAGGGGTCCTTCCGTCCCCTGGGCCCCTACTAGGGGGCCTACCCGCTGCGGACCCCCGGGCCAAGGTTCCAGGTTCACACGGACCGGGCTGGGCAGCCCCAGGGACGTCCCCAGTTAGACCGCAAGGACGAGGGGCCCTGGACCACCTTGGCCGGCGGAGGCGGGGCGCAAGGCGGAGCAGAAGGAGCGGCCAGGGGCGGGGCGGGGAGTCACCATGAAGGCCAGACCCCGCTGAGCGGAGCAGGAGCCCGTGGGTCCGAGTCGCGGCAATGGCTCCCGGCAGGGTGGGCCCGGGAGGTCCGAGAACCTCCCCGCCCGAAGGACAGTTCTGACCACAAGCTGGGCAGCTTCGTGGGGGCCGAGCCCAGCGGGCCCACCCACCTACAGTCCAGGTGGGTATCACCTGCCCCTCGGGGTGGGGGTGGGGGCGTCGGGGGGGTAGAAAACCCCTCCCACCGGGCAGAACTCAGGTGTGAAGGTGAGTGGGCGGGGCCCTGCAGGTCGCGGGAGTCAGGTGCGGGTGGGGGTGGGGTGCTTGTAAGAAGGGGAAGGGAAGAGCCTCCCACACCACCCTGCCCGCCAAGGACACAGCCAGGAGGTGGCAGGCCATGCGCCAAGAAGGGAGTCCTCACCAGGCACCCAAGGGGGCGGCACCCGGACCCGGAAGTGCCAGACGGTGTGCTGGAGTGCGAGGTTGTTAAGGTACAGAATCGCACGCTTGTGATTTTATAGTAAAAGAGTCTGAAATAAATAGGGGCGTTCTTTGTGCCGGACCCGGGACCAGCCTTTGACTGTGGGGCCACAAATGCGAAACGCTGCGCATTCTGCAAAGTCGCAAAGGGCAGAGTGCCAGGGAGCCGACCGGCGGCGGACTGATCCAGCCCGCGCCTGCGCCCGCGCGCCCCGCCCCCGCCCCACCTCGGGGCCTCCCCTTGCCCCCCCCCCGCAACAACGGGGTCCCCGGGGACATCCCCTCCACCGTCAGCAAATGCCAGCATCTGACCCAGAGGGTGGGCTTCCTCAGCATCTTTTCCGCACAGGGAAGGCGAGTTCCAGGTCTCCCATCTGTGCGCGGCTCCCCCGGACAGCTGCCCGCCGCGGGGCGGGGGAAGGGCCGGCCCCAGGGACGCGGAGCCAGCTGGCGCCCCACGCAGGCTCCCCAGAGGGGTCCCAGCTCCCTCCTCAAGGTCTCCCTACGTCCCGAGCGTCTCTCTGTAATTGTGAGGACGCCTGTGGGGCTGTAAGTCAGGGACGCGGGGGGCACGTGTCCCCATGAGCGCTCCGCCCGGCTGCGCGGACACGCCTTGCGCCTCCCGCGGCTGCGGAGCGATCCGCGGTTGGCAGCCGCTGTGCCGTGGAGGCGGGGGCGGGTGCGTGTGCGTGTGCGTGTGCGTCTGATCGCATCACTATCGAACGTTCCGGAACGGCGCGCCTGCACTTTTCGACGTCACGGCGTGGTTTGCCCCCGCAGGAAGGGGACGTTACCAATTACATTGTCTGATTCGGTCCTGTCGTTCAAGCAGCCTTGCGGGCCTGGGGTTAGAGCGCTCACTCTGTGCTGGTCGTTTGGAAGCGTGGCTGTGTCCGTGCAACTCTCGCCTCTGCGCTGGGGGCGTGGGGGCGGCTCGGAACACCCTCCTCGCGCCGACGTGCCGGCGTCGGCAGCCCAGCTCGGGGGTTCCCCAGGTCCGCGTCTGTGCCCACGGCAGCGGGCGGCGCCAGGTGGCCCCGAGCTCTCCCTGTGGCCCGTCACTGCTCGCCCTCCCACGCGTCTCGTTCCGCGTGCTGCGCGGCCCACTTGCTCTCACTCCCGCGTCTCGCCCTGGACACTGAAGTCGGCGATTTTCATCTGTCCTCGCTCTCCGGCGCCGATGCGGCCCTTGCCCCGCGCGGCCCTCCCGTACAGGCCGCGGAGCGTGTGTGCTCAGTCCCCAAATACGTCAAATGGTCGGACGAGAGACGCGGGACTTTCTCGTCACGGTTTCCGACAAAGACACGGTTGTTTCTTCGCTCAGCCCAGCGGCGTCCCGCGAGACAAGTGGCGGCAGCTTGGGTGGCCTGGGATGTGCCGTTTGGCACTCACGGGCCTGGGAGGCGGTGGCCAGGCAGGACCCGCCCACTCCGGCCGCCACGTGCGCGCTCAGAGCCGCGCACGCTCGCCTGCTGCCCGGCCCGTCAGCTGCGTCTCCGGGCGGTCCCCTCATTACATGTGCAGCGCCCGCGGGAGCCATCGTGCCCGTTGGCCGGGAGGAGAACTGGGGGAGCAACCGGTGCAGAAAGACGTGGGGGCGGGGGCATCACGCCCCAGGGGCCTGGCCCGGTCGGTGCCGTCTCAGGGGCCGGAGGAGCGGCAGCGTCCTCTGGGGGCCGGACGCCCGCCCTGCACACCCGGCGCAGCTCACACGGGTCTGCGCGCTCTTGGTCCCTTCACTCCATCATCATTTTTAAAAGATGTTGTTTGTTTTTAGAGACGGGGAAGGGAGGGAGAAAGAGAGGGAGAGAAACGTGGCCCGCAGCCCAGGCCTGAGCCCCGGCTGGGCACCCAACCTGCAGACATCGAGGTTGGCAGGCCGGTTGAGGCTCAACCCACTGAACCCCACGGGGAGGGGAGCTGCGCCCCCAGTCGGCACCCCCCACCCCGTCGCCCCAGCACTGCTGGGCTTCCCGCGGCTCTCACTGGTGGCTGCTGCCTCCCCCGTGTTTGCCGGTTCCCGGCCGTGGGTGCCTGTGCGCCTGGGCTGGAGCAAACCTGAGGCCCCGGCCGAGGACTCCTCTTCTCGCTGACGTCCCTGTGCCCCATCCAGGCCACGCCGGGTCACCTTGCACGCAGGTGGCTGCCGGGCCTACCGACGCACTTGAACCTACACTGGGGGGCCTGTAGTGACCCCTTCTCGGGGAGACACCCCGACCACCCATGTCTCACACTGAGGAGCACATGGCTGCCTTGCTCTCCCTCGGACGGGGGTCTTGTCCCAGCATCTCACCCGGGTGCAGAGCCCTCGGGGGTCTCAGCTCCAAGCAGGAGCACCTCCTCCGCCCAGTCTCAGAGGCACCGCACTGCACATGGGGGACCCCCCGGGGGTCCACAGACGCAGGGGACAGTGTGACGAAACTCCCGGCGCCCCCGGAGAGGGCAGGCAGGACGGTGCATGCGCAGGGCCGCGTCGGCCCGACCCTCGGCAGCAGGCGGCTGGAAGACTCGGTGTGCCCGGTGCTCGCTGCAGTGCTGGCCCCAGCGCCGGCCGCGGCCAGGGGGCAGCCCAGGTGCCTGCCCCGAAACAGGTGTGAGCAGGAGGTGCGTCTGTGCAGCAGGACGTGGCTCGGGAGGGCGCGTTGTCAAGGTCAGACAGAGGGGACAGGCGTGGGGCGGTGTCCCCCACACACGGGATCCACGGAGTCAGAGAGCCAAGGCCACGGGAACGGGGCGCAGAGAAGTGGCCACCAGAGCTGGGGCGGGGGGACGGGAGGGGTCGGCCAGAAAGGAAGAGAGAGGAGGGAGGGAGGGAGGGAGGGAGATGTTGGTTCAGAGTGGGGG